CATCCGATATATACCTATATACTGCAGTGTTGTAGATGCGCGACTTTAGCTCCAAAAGTTTTGGCATCCAGTCACGATGTTGTACACGCGCGTTCATGATCGACTTACAAACGTTTGTGTATACAAAGAGAATTGGCCAACAGGTGTGCGATGGGTGGGGATGGCCTGCAGGGACCACAGCGGTGTGCGAGTTAAAGCACCAATGACGATATGTCGAGGTGGATATGACAAGACATATAATACAGTTATATGGTGAAATGTTTAGTGATTCATTTAGTTTGACACTCGAAATTAGTCAACGTCAATAGGGGCGGAAAATGTTCAAAACAGTATTTCGCAGTTTGATGATGTATTACTGTTGGGCTATGACTTTTTTTCAGTTAATAAACTAATTTAAAGAACACAAATATACAACGATATAAATACGGTATTTGTAATGGATGAGTTTTTTATTTATAACAGTTTTTCACGGTTTCATAACCGATAACAAAAGTTCAAGTACCATTAAAGTGTTGGTAATAAAATGAGATTGTTATTATTCAACACACGTGTTATGAAGCTAACGTTGAGGAGCACAAAAAAACTGTATTACTTGAACGTATAAAACAACAATCATCGATTTCATATGCGGCTCTATTTGAATAACAATAAAATTTTATTGCAAAGGTAATGGGTATAAATAAAAACTTATTTTCAGATATTGAAACATTTCAAGGGTTATCGAATACTATAAAATAAATGTAATGTCCAATATTTATAAGAAGATTAACAACGAATATTGTAAAATAAAACTTTTCAAAGTTTTTGAATACGCTTTAGGTTTATCATAAAATGGAGATGTTTGTATACATATTAGCACAGTGACAATGGCTTATATAGAGTTTAGGATAATTAATATGACAACAAAAGTTTAGGTATAGAGGATCAAACAAGTCAAAYAAAATTACTTCAAACTACCAAACTAATTATTACGTCCCCAGGATCCTTTGTGTTTTATTACTACAAAATGTTTAATAAAACCATTTTATTATTATATTATTAATCAAATATAGAAAATTGTTTTAATATATTATGAGTTTATAACGCTTCAAAAATAAATGCATTATATGTTTAATAAACATGCTAATTCTTTGTATAAAAAAATATTTGAAACTATRTAATTTTGTTTGTTACAAAAAAATATCTTTAATTATTCTGTGTAGARATGTTTACAGTGTTTAAGAAATATTTTAATTGGATTGGTGTAAATATACAGTTTTATTTSGAAATGAAAAAAAAACCGGGGGTGTTGTGGCTGGGCGGATTATATAAGGCGTCGGTTACGACGCGCACCGGCGATGGTTTGAATCCCAAACCTACGGGTGCTCATTCAAAATTCTGCCAAAACATCCACGAGTACCAAAACCAACAGTTCCCTCCCCGACAGTTCCATGGCCTTTGTTGTCGAAGCCTCAACCCCCCATAAAAAAAAATAAATAAATAAAAAAAAACTAAAATTTTGTTCAAATACAATAATCAGACTTTTGAATGAAAAAATGAAAATACTATTATATATTTTTAATATATTAACCAAGTGATTTCATTTTCTATCTCAATGATTTTCTTTGCGTATATTTATCMCGACAATTATATAATATTCTTGGAAAAATAAAACCATAAATGACTTTCAAGGATAATTAATAATATAATTCTTCTTGTTTACAAGTGTTTGTTATGAATGCATGAGTTTAATTATGATGTCATAGTTTTAATATGCATTCAAATTGTTTCCGGTACATACTTTTAAAAATAAGAATCTATTTTGACCAATTTAAGTCACATGCATAATAATGAATTAATGTAATTTTATTACATTTATTAGTGATCTAATGAATGAAAAATAATATATTATATGTAATTACATTGCTTGAACAATATCTCAGTTAAAATATATGACACCAT